GAATGATGGATTTATATAGGATTCTACAAAATTGTTATTAATCCGTTTTTTATGCGATTTGGAGTATTATTTGTATGTATGAAATCTCATCCAAAAAAATGAGAGATAAAGCAATGTGAAAAAAAAAAATCAACTATATCCGATCATTTAAAAAAGGAAAACAAACGGTTTTTATGGGGTTAAAACAAATCAGTTATCACCAATTAAAAAACTATAAAATCCCATCCTAAAAAGGAGTTAAATTAGGTGAAAAAAAAAACACAAATGATTTATTACTATAAAATAGGAATTGTAGGCGGCATTACGAAAAGATTTCAAAAAAAATTACCAAAAACGAAAAAAAAAAGACGGAAAACGAAGCGGAGAATGTAGGATTTTTTTTAGAGTTTTTCAAACATTTTACCTTAGCCTTATTTTATAGCAATAGATACCGGGGCTCGTTTTTCGTGCCGAATCCACCTTTAAAAATTATTTTCAAATGAGAAAAATTCGAGAAAAATATTTTAAGTCCCGAGACTCCATTTTTGTTCTCCGAGTCTTATTCTTTAAAATTTTGAGAGTTCCAAGTTCACGAAAAATTCGTTTAAAAACCCTAAGTCTTAATTTTTATTAAGAATGGATTTTATGTTAAATTCGAGTAGTGAGATAGATTATTGGAGTCGAGCCCTCGACCTACTTACCTGCTATTTCAGTGCGATATTCTACTTCGGTACCCAAGTGGGTTTATTTAAAATTGCTATGCTATATGTGTTTATTTGATTATTGTATATATGTGAACCTGGTTGCCTATCGATGTGAGCTAATACGCCCGTCGGTACAGTAGTCCCCGTCAATGTGAGCTGTATGCCCTTCGACGGTGCCTAATGATAGGCAGTCTCCTTAAGTCCTGTACGGAGACCATATCGTATGTAAGACCTGCACGGAGGCTTTCGATATGTATGTCGTTGTAAGAACTGTACGGAGGCAATCGACCGATACTCCTACTGAGTGGGCGTCGATGTCAGGCCTGTACGGAGGCGATCGATACGAAGACACTCAGTAGCTTTATAGAGATGTGCACATGAGTATTTATATTGATAGGAGATGGGATATGTTATTGATTTTTGACTATGCTGTGATATTACCAGTTTTATACTTTGATTGTTGATTATGGCATAGTGGTGAGCACCACGGTTTCCATTTGTGCTCACCCCCACCTTCTTTTCATGGATGCAGGATAGTAAGTGCGAGCACGACGGAGGGATGCGAGTGGTGGTCGGGCATTGATGACCAACTTATTAGTTGATATTACTTCCGCTTATTGAACTGATTAATGTTATTACTACCTTTATGATTATTGAGGATTGATGATTTTTTGAGGATTGAGATTATCGTTGAGTATTGATGTATGCTTTTGGAAAATGAGTAACGCCACAAGTGATTTTGAAATAAGTTTGAAAAATTTATTCTGATTTTCGTCACATAAATGTGGGGTGTTACAGTTTGGTATCAGAGACAGTTTGCGTTTCTGTAGACTGTTCTAAGTATGAAAAATTGATTATGTGATTATGTGATTTCGACCTTGTGTTATGACCACTCGCTCTTGTCGTGCCGCGCCAACTCAGGTATGAGTACCTAAATGACTTTTAGATGATTGTGCATTACTTGATATTGATGTGAAAAATTGGGGCTTAGGAAATCTATCCACCTTTGCCTGAAATTCTGACTCTAGTGTTGAACTCTAGATTTCCCTTAATAATTGTACTAAACTTTTCGGCCCATTTTCAATATAGAAGTATGGCTCGACAAACCCGCAACAGCCAGCAGCATCAACAACCACCCCACTTCCACCTCCACCCCATCAGCAAGCTCCCAACCAAGTAGATGCTCATCTCAACACAGTTCTTCGATTTTAGCGACTGACCCCACCTTCTTACACCGATGTTGAGGGGCCCACAGCTGTGTCCGAGTGGATTCGCAAGCTCGAGCGAATCGTTGGTCTCCTTCGGTGCTCCGACGATCAGAAAGTAGTATGCGGCCGTTACCGTGATGCCGCACTGTGGTGGGAGGATTACGGGAGGTTGAGGCTAGGCGAGTTCACCAACTTGACTTAGGATCGTATGAAAGAAGTGGCCTTTGAGAAGTACTATCCACAGAGTTAGCGAGCTAGGATGGAGCGCGAATTTTGGGATCTCCGCCAGGGGACCCGATCTGTCGAGGAGTATGAGCGGGATTTCACCCGCATGAGCGCCTTTGCTCCTCACATGCTGGATACGGGACTGAGAAAGGCCACTAAATTCCGTGATGGTCTTCACCCCACTCTCTGCATGCATCTTACGAGCCAGGGGAACCTTCCATATGGCGAGACTGTTATCCGTGCCATTCAGCTAGAGAGTTGTCAGGCAATCCATGTACCCACTTCTTCTGCTCAGCTAGTTCACCCCATTTCCTCAGTACCGCCCGGCTCTAGTTCGGTTAAGAGAAAGGTTGATTTCCACCGGGATAACCGGAAGGAAAAACGCGGAGGATTAGACAGACGTGACACCGCACAGAATCAGTATCCGAAGTGTGCTACTTGTGGCAAGCCCCATTATGGAGAGTGTCGTTATGCACAGCAACTCTGCTACAACTGCCAGCGCCCCGGACACTTCGCCAATAGATGCCCGAACCCCCGAGGCCGCAGCAAGGACCTTATCAGCAGCAGCACCAGCTTCCGCCGCCCCCGCAGCAGAATGCCCAGTGGCCCCCACAACTTCAGCAGCAGCATCAGCAGGCCCAACCGAGGTTTGGCGAAGGAGGTCGCGCACGGGTATATACGATGACCCAACATGAAGCCGAGCTGAACCAGGGCTGAGCAGTTGATCGAATGTCGGATTTGAGGTGATTATTTGTTCCTCTTTTTTTTTGTTAGAATTGGATTTCTCGTAATTGTTGGCAGACCTTGTTTATTTCTCTTTTTCTTGCTAGACAAGTTTGAATTTCACTTTTAGACTCCTATTGGTTATTCAATTTTCGTTATTTAGAAATTTCGTTTGTCTTTTCTTTCCTTGCATAGAATGAGATTTCGGATGGAGTTAAAAGTCTTAATTTTCTGTTGATCATTATATGTTCTCGTAAATTTAGGAGTCTTGTACCATGACATCTTTAAGTCGATGCGAAAGGTTCAAGAGAGGAATAACGTTGCAACTCTTGAGAATACCTGGGCCTAGAGATAGGTGTAAATCAATTATTCTTTTATGAACGAGTTGAGCGTTATGCCGGAGGATCGAACGTGGAAGTCTCTGCCTACCTGATCGGGAAGAGCTCCGACAAAGTTCTAGAAATGTTCTGGAATAGAGAAAGTCTTTTAAGGAGGGTAGCCAAGAAGTTGTGAGAAAACATCAAGAGTAATCACCACTAGAGGGGGGATTGCGATTGAAGAGGATGACAATGATGTTCTGCAAGCAAACTGGCTTATAGTGAAGTATAAGTACTCTGACAGCAAAGTCGGTGTACTTAGATATCGTAGTTTGGACTAAGGTCGCAAAAAACCAGGGGATTTCCAATCTCCGTGCACGTATCAAAACGGGGAGATGTAACAGTTGATGAGGAATGAACCGTAGCTACTGGATGCGGGTGGTGTAGGTGTACTGCGTGCTGGTGTCGCGCACAGGCGTACCACTCTCGATGATGCATCTCGAGTTGTAGGAAGTGCCGTGTGTAGTGTGTCGCGTTGCCGCATGCCAGGCTAGCCATTCATGCCACAGCTGCCAAGTCTCTAACGTGTAAATGCGTATCGATTCTGGGAATTTTTCACGTGTATTGCAATGACCCAAGTCTTGTTTGGAGGACTAATGAAGTGAAGCAACCATGAATGTATTATTATTTTTAAAGAGTTGTTGTACTCAATTGCGTTGTTGTTACCACGCGAAATGAGAAGCTTCGTGGCAAGAGAAGAGGCTACGAACAGGTTATTCCAGCCCTATTATGATTCTCGACCAAGTTGATGACTTAGCCTGATGGTTGACTCGACCACTGGAGCATGCGAGGTTGCATGCCATGCTCTATGCCTCATGATGGATGGAACGTGTGCATGACCTCGAGGTACGTGTTGTGACGAGATGCGTGATAGGCAGAACCCTACCTGTATGAAGGTACCGGTGACCTAACAGAGGGTCAATTAGAGAAATGCCGGAAAGGGGTATTCGTCAAAGTCCAGTGAGAGAAGTCAAGCCGAGGGCGAGACGACTTGGAAGAGGGAGACCGAGATTCAGAGGGAGTATCGGATTTCATGTTAGATGATCTTCCCTTTTGTTCTTGATTGTATCATGTTGAAGTCGTTTTTCCAAATTCCGAGGACGAAATTTTCTTTCAGGAGGGTAGAATGTAATGCCTTATTTATTTATGGATTTTTGGGTTTATTATTTATTTGGCGTTATTACTATTATTTGAATTTGAATTATCGTATTTATTTTATTTTTTATAGTCCGGTAATTGCTCGACATTTTTTCGTATAGAATTATTATTATTTAGTTAGATGTCGTCTAATTAATGTAATGAGTCATATTATTTTATTTTATTTCCTCGTCAATCGATTTGTAGTTTGAAGTCTTCGTTTAATCGCATAGGATTAATTCTGAGCTTTGAGTTTGACCCTTGACCCAATTTATGTGAATTTTCGATTCATATAGCTAATTTATTTTCGGCCCCATAGTGATCTATATTTTCAGCCCAATTCTTTATGTTTTTTCTTGGGCCATTCTGGGTTATAAGTATTTTGGCCCATTTACACCTAATCTTTGGCCTACATGTATTAAGCGCCCGCAACCCTTCTTGTTCTTCTTTTCCGCACGTGATGGAGAAACAATCCTCATCTCTCTCGCCTATTGCGATTTTGAGGGAGTATCTTCCTCGCACGTTCTCGTCCTTCATATATCTCGGCCATAGTGAGAAGACTCCATCAGAAAATCAGTATCTCACATTCACCATCGTCTCATATCTCTCGTTTCGTTTTTGTTTTTTTTTTTTAAAAAAAAAAAACCTTAGTACCTTCTTCTCCGGCAAGAGCTCTGCCGTCGGCGTCCTCCTGCCGACATCGACACCTTAGTAGCAGCACCGCCGCGAGTCGTGCACAATCCGGTCGCCACCCAACCTCCGAACCTACAACAGCCTCTGAACCTGCAAAAACCCCGAGCTCTGTTCACCATTGGTTTCGGTGAACACCTCCAGCCGTCGTTCGAGAAGTCAACGCCCATACGAGTTTGAAACCGAAATCCATCCGAGTTCTTGAGCATCCTCGGCCCGTCCAAAGAGGGGCAGCAACAGACCGTCGTGAAATCGAGCAGGAGCTCCGTCCGCCATTATTTTCGACGGCCTCTCCGTGAAAAGCTCCATTAGTCGTGTTTCAGCATTCCTTGTCGACGTCCATGCAGCAGAGCTGACGTGCCGTCGAGAACCGGCATCCCATAGTCCCCGTTCATCGAGGTTACCGTTCGAGTTTTCGATGTCCGTTCGTCCGACCCATCTTTCCGAGATTCCCGAAGACGAGTAACCTTTTCGAAACCCTCTCGTTAATTGTTGTTCAGGATGATATCATTCGTTTACTTTCGTTCACGTTAAATCGTTTTGTTGGTATTCGAGTTCGGTTCGTATGTTCGTTATTTATTTCGTGTGTTTGTCAATTATTCGTGGATGATTGGAACTCTCGATTTCGAAAAATCGAGTATCGTGACGTTGCAGTGATAAATTCGTTTAAACTCGGAGTCTCGTCTTATTGTTTCGAGTTTTACCGCTGTCGATGTGTCGTGCGTTTGTTTTCGAACGTAGTATTGTCGTTTCATTTTTCTAACCATTTTAACCCAGTTTTTTATAAGATTTTCGAAACTAGGTAATATATTTTTAAAAATTTTTTAACCCCGGTTGCTGATGGGATTTTTACACACAAGTTCGATCAGAGTTTTCTAGCCTCTGTTCAAAATTTTCGACCCTGTTCTCTGCGTGAATTCCTTTTCCTTCAACTCTATTCACGCATGCCCAGGCAGCTGTTATTCAACTGTTTGTTAAAATCTGTAGCCGGCCCATCTGTGTTATTTTTCTTCTGCCCGTGGCCCAATTGTTTTAGGCGCGGCCCATAACCCGCGCAGACCAGCTGGGTAAGAGAAATGGTGACGGCCCGCGAGGCCCGCCGCTAGCCCGAAATCCCTCCCAGCTCAAGGCCCGCGAAGCCAGCAGTCCCGGCCCGCGACCGGCCCTCAGAAAACCCACGCAAGGCCCTCCCCAGCGGCCCAATATGTTGCGCCCAAAGCCCAAATCTGTGGCAGCCTGGTGGGCTTTTTCCCAGCACGGCCCAATGATGTTATTTTGTATATCGGGGCTCGTTTTTCGTGCCGAATCCACCTTTAAAAATTATTTTTAAATGAAAAAAATTCGAGAAAAAAAATTTAAGTCCCAAGATTCCATTTTTGTTCTCCGAGTCTTATTCTTTAAAATTTTGAGAGTTCTAAGTCCAAGAAAAATTCGTTTAAAAACCCTTAAGTCTTATTTTTTATTAAGAATGGGTTTAATTTTAAATTCGAGTAGTGAGATAGATTTATTTAAAACTGTTATGTCATATGTGTTTATTTGATTATTGTATATATGTGAACCTGGTAGCCTATCGGTGTGAGCTAATACGGCTGTCGGTACGGTAGTCCCCGTCAATGTGAGTTGTATGCCCTTCGACGGTGCCTAATGATAAGCATTCTCCTTAAGTCCTGTACGGAGGCCATATCGTATGTAAGACCTGTAGAGGCTTTCGATATGTATGTCGTTGCAAGACATGTAAAAATGGAGGCAATCGACAAATACTCCTACTGAGTGGCGCCGATGTAAGGCCTGTACGGAGGAAGATTTATAGAGATGTGCACTGAGTATTTATATTGATAGGAGATGGGATATGTTATTGATTTGTGACCATGCTGTGATATTACCAGTTTTATATTATGATTGTTGATTATGGCATAGTGGTGAGCACCACGGTTTCCATTTCTGTTCAGCCCCACCTGCTCTTCATGGATACAGGATAGTAAGTGCGGGCACGCTGGATGGATGCGAGTGGTAATCGGACATTGATGACCAACTTATTAGTTGATATTGCTTCCGCTTATTGAACTGATTAATGTTATTATTGCATTTATGATTATTGAGGATTGATGATTGATGATTGAGGATTGAGATTATCGTTGAGTATTGATGTATGCTTTTGAAAAATGAGTAACGCCAACAAGTGATTTTGAAATAAATTTGGAAAATAAATTCTAGTTTTCGTCAAATAAAAGTGTGGTGTTACAGACAATTATTATTTCAAACACTGGAAGGCACAACTTAATTCAGCCAGCTGAACATAAGAATGAAGCCAGCCCTAAATACAAGTCTATCTTATCCTAACATCGGCAGCATATCACCTAACAATAATAATGTGGTATGACCACAAAATGTATCCAGATACAGAAGGGATCAGTCTACGGGATTACGAGGAAAGGTTGAAATCTTTCTCCAGGAGTTTGTGAACTTCTACAAGAGAAGAGACTTTGTAATCTGGTTTATACTCGAAATTTTGGTATTGTGGAGAATCGTACCTTCCCGTTTCATCAAGCAAGCATGTAAAAGCTCCAGCTCTCTTCCCACAGACCACCTATGCAAATATTCATAAACTAGAAAAACTGAGGCAGAGCTTGATGACTGAAAGCTAAACAGGGACATGATTGCAAAAATTACCTTTCAGATTTAAGATTTCACGTCTGTTAATTTTTATTTAATATTCTTGGTCTTTTCTTTTGTTGATTAAACTAAACTTCAGCAATACCTATTAGTAAAAAAAAACTGATTGAAAATATATATAAATACGAGGAAAACAAAGCGAAAAAAAAAAAGAAAGAAAAATGAGAGCAGGAAAGTAGAAGAAAGTGTATAGTCAAGACAAACAAGCAAAATGGGAAAGGGAAAAGATTCAGTTATAACATCTTAACCCAGAAAGATATACACGTAATGTGGAGAACATGAACGTACGTCATCCTTAAGGCTATCCCCAACCATCATAACTTCATTAGGCTGCACCTCCCAATTCGAACATATGTGAAGCAAAGGAGCTGGGTCTGGCTTGTAAGGACGAAACTCCCTGCTTAATGCAGGACAAAATATCATCTGCACCAAAGTTCACAATGAAACCAAAAAATTTTGAAACTAACTGCACTGTTAACATCAGGGCATACCAATACGAATTTTCGTTTAATCGTATCATTTAAAATTTTAAAAACTCCAATTCACGTCTCTCTAAAAAATTGGACGACCAAGATGACAAAAACTAAAAAGGCAATACACTTGGAACTTATCAAGCTTACCCCAAAACGGCGATGAAACAAATCCACCGCTTCCTTCACATTTCTGGTGATTAATCCTCTTCTGAAAAGTTGCATTAGAAATGGAGATTTAACACGTCCATGAGATATTCATACCAAGGATAGAAATAGACAAAAATAGTAAGGTTGACTTAAAAAAATCACACCTACAAACAAACCAGATAGTACATGTAGACCATACAGTTCAAACTACAAATTTCACTGAGCCATTGGTTTTGCGTACAGATAAAACATAAAGTAACAAAAAACATTTGAAAGTCCAGTACGTGTGGCTAGTGGATCCACAAAATAGATGAGAACTGAAACAGAATCCATATAGGATACATCCAAAGATAAAAGCAACCAACAAAAAAATTCAAAGCGAAGTACATTTTACGAGCAGATCTCACAAAGTAGAAGGAAAGACAACAAAAGCCATACAGAATACAGTCAAATATACAGTTTGCCATATAAGCTTCAAAAACAACAAGATTATGTTAAGCTAATCTTGATTATATACTGAAACATTACCTAATATTCTTTGAATCAAGAAATCCATAAAGTTCAGAGGCACCTGCAAGAAAATTGAAATGAACTGGGATATACTTAATAGTCTGCAGGGCCAAATAATAACACCTCCATCAAGTTTTCGAAATGCTGAAAAGTCAAGACAGATTTATACAGATAACTGGAATCAGGGAGATCGGGAAAAATAAAAAGATAAAAACTTGTGCTCTCAGACAAAAGGTCATTTAAGTTTGAACTGATAACAGGTTGACTACTTGTGTTTCTGAAAATTAATGAATTTAGTATCTTTCATATCATTTCATTTCTTCATCCAAAGGAACTCAATAGCTTGAACCCCTTATAATCCATTTGAATTCATAAGGTTTTCCAAGTTCATTTGAAGGATGAGATTTACTAAAACAAGGAGACCAAGGTTTGTTAAAACTCTCTTAGTTATCAATGTTCTATTCCGTCAAAAAAAAATTAAAATTTCGCAAAAACCCACCCTAGACACTAGCAGTTCAGAACTTGCATAATTCCAATAATTAATACTCACAATAAACTACGAATAGGGAATTTCTGAGATAGATGGAGTGTCTATGAACTACATGTAATGATAATACTTAGAAAGATAATAATTTACACCATTCATCAACCAAATTTCTCAAAAATACACAATGTCACATACACTATGCGATGATATTAATAGGGTTATCCGATTAGTACTTGAGAGACAAGATGGTTTTACCTTTATGTAAAGAATTGTGTACTTGTGCACTAACTTACCGCATGTTTGGTTAACTACACTGTTCTTGCTAAGCATATTTAAAATTAACGAAAGAAAAAAGGAGAGAGAATCTATTTTCTTAAAACAAAATAAAAAAACTAACCTGGCATAATCTGAAGACGATCCAAACCCTGTTTCTCAAAATCCGCAATAATTTCATAAGCCCGTTTCTGTTTATCGGAGCTCCACGTCTCAATGTGGTGCAGGATATCAATCCCCGATGGATTTTCCGACTTGATTCTCGCGTACTCCTGCTCGCCGAGAACTCTCCTGTACATCGCCGGGAAGTTGATCACGGGGACTGTTAGAGTCCCGTCCATATCGAACACCACGCCTTTCAGTCTGGACTTGGTGGTCACGGCGGCCGGGGAGTGGAAAGCGGCCATTGACGAAAATGCCCTTCTGTAGTTGAAGAAGATGAGTCTCGGACAGATTTGCATTAAATATAATGAGATTTTGTACTTTGTGACCTCTAATTCTATGAGTGATTGATATTTACTTGGGTGCCAGTGAGAAGTGGGTTTGGATAATTGGGGAAAAGTTCAGTTTTTGTATCCAATTTATGTTACTATTAAACATGTTTAACGATTAACAAATCATACTTACGTGTTAAACGATATATGCTATAAATTGATATTTCATATAAACCAAAGTATAATATTTAATTAAATAAGTGATAGAAACCAAGGTTGTCAAAACCGGACCGGTCGTCGAACCGGTCAAGCTACTGGTTCAATGGTTCACTGGTCCGACCAGTGGTTGAACCGGTTGGACCGTTATTTAATTTATTGATATTTTTAAATATTTAATATTTCATAAATATAGTTAACTTAATTTTTAAGTAATCTAATTTATTGATTTTTAAAAATATATAATATTATATAAATAATAGTTAACTTAATAGTCATATAACTTAATAGTTAATTTAATTTATTGATTTTGTAAAATATATAATATTCTATAAATATTAAATAATAATTAACCTAATATATATAATAAACGCGAGGGCATGCCCATGTGTTATATACTATGAAAAAACAAAATTTCCTCCTACACGGCTTTAACAGTTGGAGTTCTTAATTTCTTATACTACCTGCTTGTCCCACATCGGATGACTTAAAAAGTTGAAAGGTAAGTTGCCGTATAAATATGTTAAGAGAGTATCAGGATTTCAAAAAAATAAAAAAAACCAACCTACTGACTGGTTGAACCAACCGGTTTTCCCCGGTTTTGTCCGGTTTTCACCGATTCGACCGGTCATTGACTGGTTTTTGACCGGTTTGACTGACAGGCGGTTTCTTCCATAGAACCGGACCGGTTAACTGGCCGGTTCCCGGTGGGACCGGTCGGACCGGCCGGTTCGGTCCGGTTTTGACAACATTGATAGAAACATAAACCAAAGTATAATATTTAATTAAATGAGTGATATGGTTCTATCAGATATACCCGTTTGTAGTAACCGGTCTACTTGGAGACTCCTCCTGACTTTCTCATCGTGAGACTTGCCGAGCGTCAGGGGTTCCCAGCGTAGAACTTTTAACGATCAAGTCAGTCCATGTTTAATTGTAAGTATGATATTGCATAATGAATAATGATTACCATACCTCATCTCTTATATAGAGTAGTTACATTGCTCTTCATAATATTTTTTTTATATGATAGATTATAATTTTTCTATTTTCAACGATAGAATATATGTTAACTATGAAAAAACCCAACAAAGTTCGAATAAGTCCACAGAACCACTACAATGGGAGACACACTCAAAGAGTGGTCTAGAAGCCATAAACCAATCAACACTAGTAAAGGTGGGGGTGCAACCACCGGAACTTTTATCCTGGACATCAAGAACTAAAAGAAGAAAACCAATGAACACAACAACTACTACAAAGCTAATAAAAAAGAACAAAAATGGCAACACAACACTAGCAACCTAACTCTTCAAGGCCACAAACTCTTGTCATTCTCTCCAAGCCCCCCGAACCACCACCTCTTCTGGCATCCACACACGTTCAAAGAGCCACAAATTCCGAGAGCGCCATAGCAACAATAAGATATAGGTAGATAATTGGATGCGGGCATCAACTATCCCAAATTTGTCAATAGCACAAACCTTCCACCACCATAGCTTAAACGATTGTTTATCCCTGAGAGTTCTTTCCCATTCCATCGGTGCTAGCTTCCACACTGGTTTGGCCCTCCTGCAGCTAAGAAGAAGATGTTCTACAAATTCATAATGTTCCCCACACATACTACAAATTAGATAACATGCACTCCTCTTTTAGCAACATTTAAACTATCAGGTAAAACCCCAGTAAAACACTTCCAAATGAAGTGTTTTATTTTCACTTTAACTCTCATTTTCCAAGTCCATGTTCTTTACTCGTTTGTCAACCAAGGCTGATTCACTTCCTTATGCTTCATCAAGACCCAGTATCTTCTGAACCAACAGATAACTATATGAACCTGCCACTGAAAATTTGCCATTACCCTCAAGAGTCCATCTCCATCTGTCAGGGTTATCTGGTGTAAGGGACTTAATGTCCATAATGGCCATCCTGTCCCTGTCACTAAAGATTTCCCTCAGGAGTCCTTCATTCCATCCTTTACCAACTTAACAGACCAAAATTAGTGATCTCCTCTCATAATCAATAATCATAGGACTTTTGTGATTTAGTTGAGGTACCCTAGAAAGTCCTAGATTCTTGTTAGTTTCCCTTTTCTCACTTCTTTTTGCAGGCCTTTAGCAAACATAGGTAAAACATCCACCCAGTTATCCCAGAGCCAGGATGTAGACCGACTCCTTTGAGCTTTAAGAATTATAAAAGTGGGATAGTATCTGGTCTTAAGCACTTGACTCACAGAAGACCAGGCATGGTGGTTATCCTCCACATTTGCTTCATCAGGACGACTTCATTGAAAAGCTTATAACCTGAAACCCAAGTCCAACATCGATTTTAGATTGGGCCACACTGCTCCATTTCTTCCAATAAATGCCTTTATCCTGGTTATCAGCCTTTCTCCACCAGAAATAAGATGTCAGTCTACTCAATTCATCACAAATGCCCAAAGGAGAAAAGAGTTTATGCTTCCAAAATGCTGAGGTTTTGTCCTGCTAGGTTTTTCTGACATGTTGAGCAGCGGTACCTAATGACCACAAGCTACACTTCAAGATGTTCAGATTAAGTTTTGTTCCAATTAGTTTTGATATGTTTAGGAAATAGTAATTCAATGGGAGTGCTATAGAATATCTCAATTGTGAATGACTATTTTTCTCTTGTTATTGTATTATTATGATTGTGCTATCAGAAATTTCTATATATAGGAGCTTCAGTTAATCATATTAAGATAATACATTCTCTCTATTTTCTTTAGTTTTATAACATATACTATTTTTCCTTTTCTGGATGGTTAAACGCAACATCGAGGTCGTGGGACTAATTGTGATATATCTTAAAGAAAACCTAAGCTAAAGATTCAAATATTTGTGATATCTATTATTATATAAAGAGCTAAGTAAAATTTGAAAATAATAAGTGTATTTTCCGCTTTTTTCTTTTTCTTTTTTACTAATTTGGAAACTATTTTTGAATTTTTTTGTCATTTCCAGCCCATGCAAATGTGTTCAAATTACAATAAACCACTTCCCTTTTTTGTGTCATGAATTTACAATAATATCTACAAATTCACTTGCTCTTTTTGTGCCAAAAAAATCCGCTTTTTGTGACAAAAAATCTGATTTTTATTCGAGATTCAAAATTTAGTTAGATTTTTATTTCTATTTTATTAATATGTTTGAAAGAGAATCAATAAACTTATATTACTACAAAATTTGGTTAGATTTTTGTATTTTAATTTGTGCTCTATAAATATCAAATACAATTAGATTTAATATAAATATAATATATAAATTAATAACAAATATAATATATAACTTATATTACCATTTTTGGATTTTTTTTTTCTTTTTCTTGCTCATGCAATTTGTTTGAAATAATTCATACATGCAATTTGTTTGAAATCCGCCCATGCAATTTGTTTAAATTAGATACCGGATATTGTTAACTAAGATGATAAGAATTTGGTAAAAAATCGGATATTGTTAATTGATACGTGATATGATAAACAATCGGATAATATTTTGGTAAAAAATTAGATATTATTAATTGTTAAAAGGATTTTGATGGGTATCCTCCTAGATCTGGAGTGAACCGGTGGAAATGAGCTTCGGTCTGTTTGAACCGTCTCCAAGTCGTCCGTGAGCCGCTGCGAACACCTGCAAGAACTCAACACCGGAAGTGTTTTCCGGTGAAGAGCCTCCGACGCTCAAGTCAGTGAGAGAGAAGAAGATGAGCTATGCTCAGTAGGAGCAGCAGCTGAATAATGAATGGAGAGAATGAAAGTTAGGGTTTGGGGTTACCTTAGCTCCTTTATATAGGAATAGGAACACTTACTCGAAATACCTAAAATGCCCTGGCCGACTTACACAAAGTGTCCAAAATCCTCTGGTCGGTTTGCATTCCGCCCACTCCTGAGTCAGTGTAATGCCCCAAAGATTTATAAAGACATTTATGGCCTTATCCAAAAATCTTGTTTTAAAATTTCAAAACTATTTATCGATTTATAAAACATTTGGCGCTACTCGAGAAATTTTCAAAGTTAAAACACATAATCAGCATAAAGGAAACTAGAATATTCAGCATAATTCAAGTTCCAGGACTAGATTTCAACATACTAGCAATAGGATTGTCAACATAATCCAAATTGATAAAAATAATCCACATGGTTCAACAGTTCAACCAATCCCAAAAGCAATAGGGAAAAATAACAAAGTCTGATAGTCTCAACATAAATATCAAAGCATGCGGAAGCAATATAAAGCAACAATAAGGTTTGACCATCCACTCGTCTTTAGTCTCGTCATGCCCAACACGTGCTTAACCTGCATCAATGAAGAGCAGGTGGGGATGAGCACAAATATAAACGAGGTGCTCACCACTA